TGGAAAACAACCATGTGAGTAGTTTAGCTCATTTTCCTGTTGTTGCAGGTATCTTTTTGACAATCAGTAGATTTGCTAAGGCACTGCTCAAGCTAATTTTTAATAGCTCAATGAGGACTAGCAGAAACCTTTGGGCAATTGCTCCTCATCTATCTGATGTACCAGATTAGGAAAGTCTAAACTATCAATTCTGTCTTGTCATCTGTGTGTGTGTTATCACTTAATTTTGCCTTCTACAATCTCTTATTGAGTTTTGTAATTTTCTGTGCAAATAACAGGCACTTAGAGATTTTTTTTGCACTCCACTAACAAATTACTATTTTGCACAACAGTCCATCATTTTTAGCAGAAGTTGCTTTTTAGGTCTCACTCATCTTGGCATTTCATCTTTATTTTTGGCCTACAGAAAAAAAATATTTTCCAGCAAAGTTAGTAATGCAAATTATTCAACTTGAATTAACACATACTTCATAATCTTTCTGCCTTTACAGCTTCTCCTGGCAATAGAAATAAATTACAGCTGCTAGAATATAGTATTATTCTTTCTCTATCTGAGTTGGGGAAAAGTGATTCATTTTCTCTCTTTCTTAGCAAAAGAGGACAGTCTGTTCAGTGAAGCAAAATTTATTAGGGCTAAAATTAACTGGAGGAAATACAATCCATAATTAAGCCAGGTTACTTAGTGCCACAGATGCAGTATGAAGAGTATTCCAACTGTATTACCATCACAGGAAAAACTCAGTTTCTGGAATGCCAGTTGCCACACAAACTTGGCACAGAATCAGTAAGGTTATGAGACATTGAATCTGCACATTAAGGCAAAAGAAATGTACTTTTAAAAAAGGCTGATAAACTTCTACACTATAAATATAGTTGCAAGGAAAAAGCAGCATTTTAACTAGGCCAATAAATGGGCTCTGATTAGAAATTAAGTGGTGCTCCTACAGAATTCAACTATTTCTCAGTAATTAAGACATTCCTTAATGAAGTGGACTGTGGTGTAAAGCAAGCAATTCAGGGCTATTGTTTATTTATCTGATTCAACTGCATTAGCTAAAAGTCAGTGTTTTTTCCAGCAGACTATGCTGCAGCCATCAGATCGGTGACGAGTCCGGCTTCTCCAGCTGCAAACAAGGAACAGACTGGGGCAGTGGGGAGGAGACTGCTGAAGGCATAGAAAATGCTGTATTTAAACAGTTGTGTTTGTTTTTCTGTAAAAAAAAAAAAAAAAACTTGAAGATCTCCTTTCTGCCAGAACACTGGCACTTTGCAAACACTGCCAACACAAACCCCTGCGAGCGAGCCAGCTGACATCAGCTGACCGAGGACATGAGGGGGACTTTGGACATTTTATCCATTCCTCCTCAGACAGACAGGCTTTTGTCCTGGCCATCTGACCAAAACAAGCTCATGAATAAAAGCAGAAGTTGCCTATGGAAGATGTGCTTATGTCAGTGCAATCAGAAGAGAAGAGCTCAATAGGATGTGATGTTTCAGATATTTCCATTGGAGATGGCCAGTTCAGTCTGGCCTGTACTGGTGATGAGGAAAAACACCCTCATGTCCTGGCCTAGATTAAATGAGCTGGACAATTTCTGCATAGCTTAAGCAGGTGATAGTTTGGATCACAGAAGTTGCTACTGCAACTGGCTCCTGGCAGGAGAGTAAGCACTAAGGACTGAGGCTGAGGTTACAGCACCTTTGGAATAGGATCTGTGCACTCAGAGCAACTACAATTCATCTCAGACATGGGACATGAAGTTCTATTCCCCAGAGACAAGTTAGCCAGAGCTCACAACACAGATCTAAAGTCCCTTTTATGACTTTATACCCAGTGGAAGGAGGAAGAGAATGCATGAGAGGCAGGTAAGTCAGGTGATAGCTGATTGAGCACAAAGCCTTTTGGTACAAAAATTAACAAAGCCAAATTTTTGCAACAAATCCTAACCGTCAGTAAGATCAACACAACTGCATTGAGTGGCTCTGCTGTTTTCAGTCTAGCTCTGGGAGACACGCAGATGTCTTGTATTATTAGGCCTTACCTTCTGGAAACTTTTCCATGCCAGGTACTTGCCGAGCAAGCTGAGGCCATGAGGAGCAAACTCTGGGGAGCTGTACTGGCTCACAGAAGTTGCCTTTCACATCACTCAAGCAAGGGCTGTCTTAATATGGGCCCAGCTGTAATACAAAAGGGTTATGTCCATGGCAATTGAAGTCTTCAAAAGTTTAATATTTAGACCCTCAATACTGCAAATACATTTCAAACATTCTTGTTTCCCAGGATAATAGCTACATAATTACGGCAAGCCTATCACACTTTCTCTTTGATCCCACTGGATTTATTTACCAAAAGTCATTGCATGGATGTGCACAGCAAATGTCCTACAGAAGTGCCTGCAACAAAATTAAAAGCTTAAATATAGAGATTCTCTCTCCACTAAGTACTGGCTTTTATTAAAACTGGGATTTGCTCATACTTCACCCCTTGCAGCCTCTTTGAATCCTCTTTTGACATTTCAAAAGCGCCATGAAGGTTCTAATACACATTACACAGAAAGAGCTATTATAAAATTCCTGACTTTTTCTTGTTTGCACGACAAAGGGGAATGGCAAATCCTCCAATTGGACCAGATAATCACTCTCCTGTGAAAAGCCTCCAATATACATCCTCTGTTTTCTTCTTAGTTGAGCTTCAAGTGTGTTTGGTCAATAATTTTATTTTGTGTGTGAAGCCCATAAATCACCTTCCAATACACATTGGACAGTGGAGAGTCCTGGTGGATTTGGCATCAGCCAAAGGAGAAATCAGATCCAGATACAGGAAAGCTGGGTGCTGCTAGAGCAATCAGACATTTTAACTTCATGTTGTTGTGGTCTTTTGAAGAACGCTCACTGCAGAGTAGGACCACTCTCTGGAGCAATTGGATAGATAAATAATTAAAGGATAATGTCTTCTGACATAAAAGAGAGACCATTACAAATCCATGGACTGCAGTTTTATCCAGGTGACCATATAAACCTAACAAATTCCCTGCTGGCTGAGCTGGCCAACATTTAGAGAGCCCACGTGCAGAAAAGCTTTGTCAGCCATCTGAACATTACTCAGGTGGTTTCCAAACCTCTGACACAGCCCATTTTGTGACCAGCTCTTTTGCCCCGGCCTCAGGAAAGCAGTAGTGCCATTCGGCTGGAGAGACAGTCCTGAGGGAAGAGCTGGGCATATGGAGCTTCCCTAAAGGGATGAGGGGTCACAAAGATTTCAAGGAAAAAACCTTCCCTTTTATTTGCAAATGCAGGAGTATTTGACATGAGCTGAACTTGAAGCCGACAAATGAAGTGGATATTTTTCACTTCTGTTTGTGTCTTGGGAATGGATGCATTTTGAAGTAATATACAAATGCATGTCTAAAATTCATCTCCAGAGAAAGATGCTACACAAAGTGCAGGATTAAAGAATGCACTGCCTTGGGCCATGCACAGGCTGTTACTTTGTAGTCTGTTCCATTTTACTCTTAAAACTCAATTTAGCTAAATAAGGTGCCCTTTTAACATCTAGCAGAGGCTTTATCATGCTTAAGAAGACAAGTTTCTTAAAAGGTTGTAAAGACAAAGAGAGAAGTAACAGAAGTGTTGAGTGGGGCTCTTTCAGACGGCTTTATTGCCTTCCCCTGAGTACAAAACAGGCTGCCTCCCTCAGCTGACACTTGTTTTAATGAGGGATGAGCCACAACGGGGTGATTTTGTACAAGTTCATTACATCTCATCCTCCAGCCAGACTGTCCTCAGGGCACACCATTCAGCCTGGGCATTGGGTGAAACTGGACCAATTTTAAGTAATTTAGAGAGGTATATAAAATCCAAAGGCCTTTGATGCTGAGACATTTGTATGTAGGCTCAGGTATGTGGCTACTGGAGAGGGAGACTCTGCCCCAGGTGCCATGCTCCTTCATGCTTTTATCAATCACATTTTATTTCTTCAATTCAGTTCTCCTAGGATTGGTGCCAAAAATAGATTTCCACATCTTATACCAGCAAAGGCCAGGGAAGAAAAGGGTGTAAGTTTCCAGTTTAAATGTTCCAAGGTAAACATCCAGCCTCCTCACCCCAGCCTTCAGATCAGCTTCACTCTCCAGAGCCAGTGCTCTATCGTGGCTAATGTTAACAGCATTCAAAATTCTGATATTCTTCATCCATTCTGGGGAATAGTGCAGTGGTTTCTCATGTTCACTGGAAAGTGATCTGCCTTTACATAAAGCCCTCTTCTTCTAAGCATGAGTATTATGAAACCCACAGGAATCCATAAAGAGTGATGGGACATTTTCCTAAAATGTCACACCCGTACATCTTCCACCTTCTGTGATTCAGAAGCAGAGTAAAAGCCCATAAATCATTCAACTGCTGTGACTCACTGCCCTGATTCATACACTTGATACAAATATTCAGAGATCAAAGTGGAACCTAACACCCCCCTCAAAAGATTTAAATGATTTTTCAATGCTTGCCATAAAAATGCACTTCCAGCTGAAGCTAAAGCTTCTCCTGATTGTTATTGGCAAATTCTCTGCAGTAAAGATTGATGCTGTCTTTAGGAATCGCATGGTGTAGTACATAAAGCAATGTATTCTGCAGTTGTGCTTCCTCCCCTAGCAAGGCTGAACAGGGGACACTGATTGCTCAGGGGGCTTCTGGGCAAATATTTACAGGGAATTAAAAAATAAAAAAGGAAATTTCTTCCCCGTGGTGGAATCTAGGACCCCCCTAAATCTTCTTGTATTAACTTTGCAGTGGATGAAGGTGTTAAACTGGCATGTCTCTACCAACAGGGGAGTGATCCTTTTAAGTCCTTTGCTTCGTCCCCACTTGTGAAATTTGTTGTGCCAGTGGGACGAAGCTGGCTATAAAACCCCAGCACAGGGGACCTCCATCCAGCTCGGGCAGCTTGCCAGCACATCTCTGCCGAGAGCAGCCCCAGGGAGATCCCCCCTTCATCTCCGTCGGGCAGGAAACTGCTTCTCTGCCGGAGGAGGATGGACCTGAGGTGTGCCTGGATGCTCTGCGTGCTCTGCTTCATCCTCACGGCCCAAGCGTTTACCCCGGAACGGTTCAAGGAGGTGGTGCTGAAGCAGCTGGGGCTGTCCGAGGTCCCTAAACTTCATACGAGAGACTTGGTGGACCTGGTTATCCCAGACCACGTCAAGAACAAGTACATGTCCATGCTGAAGCGCCAGAGGGTGAAGCGCAGAGCTCTGCCGAGCCTGGCTGGCATCCTCAGGGGGATCCCGGGACACACAGGTAACGTTTCTGCTGCTCGGAGCATCCCGAGCATCCTGCTGCCGCCAGCGGCATCTGCCGGGACTCTCCCGCCCGGCCGCACGATGGACAGAGGCAAAGCCCCGAGGGGAAAGGGGAATGAGGGTCGGGTTTGGCTCCAGAGCTCAGCTAGGCATGGGAGGTGCTTGCAACAGCATCCTAAAGATTAACAAGCACCCTTTGCACCTGGAGAGGGAGTCCCGCAGCCCTTCCAAAGGACAAGATGCTGCTGGAGCTTGATAGATGCCTTGGTACCCTGGGAACACTCTGGGCAGGTGGGGGTGGGGGGGGGGGCGGAATAAAAACGTGCAGGTAGGTTTTGGATGAAATCTACAGCAAGCCCTCTAATAGGAATCACATCCTTTGGAGGATGTTTCACTTTGGCTCATCTCTTTTTTGTTTAGGCTTGTTGTTTTGGAAATTTACCAAGGAGGCAAATAGCCATACAGATACAATAGTGGCTGTACAAGGGCACTTAGAGCTTATTGTGCATTCAAAGGACATACACAGCACCCTGGGCAGCAAATGAAAATACTTTTTCATTCCAAGTGGTGCAGTTTCCAGCTTTCATGCCCAGCACTGGCGCAGAGGTGCACACCTTTTGAGGTCTGCTCAATTTGGGGTCATATTATGGCAGAGATTTAGTTCTTCCTAAAGGCTACAGAGGCTCAGACATAGGAGAATAATCAGGGCATTTGCAAGACATTGATTCAAGTATGCATTAGAAAAGGTATGTTTAGTCACTCTGCCACAAGGACTCCATTGGGAGCAGGGAAGGAGTGTGTTGTGATGATAATTGTGCATGAAATGTGGTAGCTTTTCTCAGCAGGGTGGCAGTGACAGGCCATCCTTTTTGTCCCCAACCGCACAGGTATGACAGGGGAAGTCCTCTACTCTGACACAACCACACGCCAGAAGCTGATGTTTGACATGGAGGGCAGAATACCTAAAAACAGCGAAGTCACAATGGCTGAACTGAAACTCTTCAAAAAGCCTCTGGACAGAACAAACCTGCCTGCTAAGCAGTCTCACAGGCCTGTCTCCAATGCCAGAGTCAGCGTGTACTGGGTGCAGCAGCAACACGATGGTACCAACAGGACCTCCCTGATAGACTCCAGGTAAGAAAGGGGTTTCTGCTGGAGTTCCAGAGTTTGGGTCCTCTGGGATGCATTTGCGCATCATGTGGTTGTGCCTCAGCTCAGTCTGATGGGGTTTACATCTGTACAACCTCGTTATATAGCCTCTAAACCCAGAATGAGCTTTTATTATGCTGAGATGCCAATATATGAGGATTCGTTGAAATAATATATGCAATTTTGCCATGTACTGCTATATCTTCCTCTCTAAAATGCCCCTCCTGGTCCAATTCTCTGAAACTAGTTCAAGTGGGTTACTGGCTGCTGGTATTCTTTCCATTGGCCATTTCATTAGGTGATTAAGACAAGTAAATTATGCAAAAAGCATCTGATTCTGTAATGGTGAGCTCTGTGGAAGTTTTGCAACTCTTGAATGCTGAACTAGACTAGACTAGAAACTTAGGGCCCTAATGCAGCTCAGACAGGAGCAGGTGAGAGCCTGGTGTTTACCAAGTTGTCATCACCAACACTAAGGCTGCACGTGATCCTGCACCACCTAATTTTTTGTATGAGCATGTAGAGAAGGTTTTATCTGGCCCTTCAGTGTCTGTTAGATCTGCATGCTTCTTTGTGAGGAGGCAATTAGCTGTGGGTGCTTGCCCAGAGCAAAAATGATCATGTAATTAAGGCACATGACAATCTACAGGAAGCAAATTATTCTGCTGCAATAACAGCGCTGCAAGCCTGGGATTTATCTGATGGGCTTTTCTAATGCCAAGCCCTTGTCATGCAGGCTGGTTCCTATTCGTGAGTCGGGCTGGAAGAGCTTTGATGTGACCCAGGCCGTGCATTACTGGCTGCGAAACAAGAGGCGGGAGCCGATGTTCCTGGAGGTGTGGATCGAAGGGGAAAGGCTGGGCAGTTATGCCTCGGAAATGGCCAAAGCCGTGCGCTTCACCTCGCAGGACCCCAGGGATAAAACCCTAGGCAAGCCTGAGCTGGTGCTTTACACCCTCGACTTGGATGACTATGGGTATGTATGAAACCTAAATCTGTACTGTCTCTGGTGTGATTTTGTCCCTGAATTATTGGGGGGACAAACCCAGGGTGGGCAGCTCTTACCCTCACCAGCATTTACCAGCTGTGAATGGAGTAGTTAGAAAGCTACTGCTGAATCTCACCTCTCCTCTTCCCATACCTGTTGTCTGAATACTCAAACAAACCCTGAGCAGGGCCCAGGTGTCATGTCTCAGAGCCCACCTGTGCTATTAGCAGCAGGGATGATTCCTCCCACTTCCCAGTTTCCAGTTATAGCACCCATTCCTGTTTCTCCCTTGGTGTCCAGGAGCCCTGGGGACTGCAGGGAGGAGGCGGCGATGGGGAAATCCACCTGCTGCCGGCAGAAGCACTACATCAGCTTCCGCGAGCTGCCGTGGGCGCAGCACTGGATCCTGGAGCCGGCGGGGTTCCAGGCGTACCGCTGCTCCGGGAGCTGCCTGCAGCCGCCCCGCGCCCTGCGCCGCCTCGGCTCCGGGCAGCGCTCCTGCGCCGTGGCGGGCAGCTCCGCGCTGCCCATCATCTACCTCGTCAAGAGGGGCAACCACACCGAGATTGAGGCGGCCGAGTTCCCCAACATGATCGTGGAGAGGTGCAGCTGCGTCACGGACGGTGAGGCGCTGGTGTGACGAGTGGGTGGCCTGGGGTGTCATCCATTCCCTGCAGCCCTGCCAAGAGCCACCCCGGCCCCCAGCCCCGGGGCCAGGGATGAAGGTCCTGGGGGGTTCCTGCCTGCAAGGGCCAGCAGCCCTGGGGCCCTGCTGCCCTGCAGAGAGAGCGCACTTGGGGGCACTGTCCGTGTAGATGGGCTCAGAGGAGTGTTCTTTTCACATTTGTGAGGGGTACCTTAGAAGCCTAGTGCTTCTTGGGACCTCCTTGATGCCAGCTGAATTTCACTGTATTTATTTCATCCCCCAACCTGGAGTACTGCAAACTGCTCCAGGCAAAAGAAGATTGCCTATGACCAGGTGAAGAACAAATTTGTGGGCTCAGCCTTTCATTCTTAGGCTGCTGTGTTTGGTCCTTGTCTGCCCAAGCCGTGTTTATGGTGAGCTGGAGAGCAGAAGCACTTACATGATATAAACTGTGATATAAACTGTACAGACACACATGCACACATGTACAGAGTGTATGAATAAATGTGTGTACTGTCTACATACTGGATAGCTACATATTGATTACTTACGTATATATACATACATAAAATATTTCCTAGAGCTCAAAGGAGCATATTTATGTGCATATGTATTGTATGTACATATACATATCTACATGTACATAAAATACTATCTGAAATGCAAAGGCTTATATTTTTGGCCCCTAAACCATCGGCTTAACACAGTTTTAGGCAGAATTTAGAGTCCTGGAATCAACAGGAACATTAGGACTTAGGTTTCCTTGTGTGAATAACAGTTTGTTTTTCTGATTCTGTAATACAGTTATTTCAATTTAGGCATATTTTTCAAGTCGTGTGTGCTTTCAAAATCAAGGAAAAAAATAAACGTATTGAAGTAGTCATGTGTTTCCTTGTATTTATTCTTAGATCTAAAAGTGGAGGGGAAAAGGTCTGTCATGCTTCTGTGAATATCCAGTGCCCAGCTCCTATAAACACACATGCAGCAGCAGCTTTTCTCAGCTACCTGTGTGAGCTTATTTGCTCCCCCAAGGGTCTGGGCTGAATCAGCAGGCAGAGCAGAGCCTACACTGCCAGCGCTTCATCCTGAGCTACTGTGGAGTTTAAACCAACACTTTCTTAAAGAGAAAACCTAGAATCTTACCTGCCAGCAGGAGGTGACACTCTCCTCGTGAGCCGAAGCGGTGACAGAACCTGCAGGGGTCAGCTAGAACTGTAGGAAGGGATGAGCTTCCTCCCATCCCCTTCCTGCCCAGGTGAAGCACTTTAACCCTGACTCTTCCTGACCTCTGACCAACACATACCCTGGAGAAACGCAATGATCATGTGGTTTAATCCCTCTGAGAACTGTGCTGAGCTGCTGGCCATGGTGTCACCCATGCTAATGATTTCCACCTTCATGTCAGACTCCTCAGTTCATAACCCACTGTGACAGTGGCAGTGGCTCTGGGGATGAAGCATTTGCTGCTGACCATCCCTGTTGGATGGTGAGATGTGGTCCCTGAGGCTCTGGTTGAACCTGCTGCTGGTGCAAGGACTCTGAAATGTGTTTGTCTGCCTAGACAGGGTGACCATGGATGAGGGGAAAAGAGACCTGTTTGACTCTACAATGACTACATGTTATCCACCAGGAAGACGTGACTGTTCCTACTGTTCTGCAGGACCCCAGGTCTGAGGTCACCCAGGCATCTCTGCCACCACCTCATGGGTAGGCTGGCACCTCTGACTTGTGTAAACATCTGTGGCAAAAGAGCTTTAAGGGGAGGAAAAAAGCAAAAACACAGACTCACCATTCACCAGCGCTGGGCTGCAGCACTCTGGGTCGCTGGAGTCAGGACTGGATGAGCCGGCTTGATCTCTGGCATTCCCTTCTCGTGACTGTGTAGTATCTACCTTAATGCCATTGGCATTCAGCCCCAGGTCCTCTCCAGCCAGCTCGGGGCAGGGCATAGCCTGAAGGCCAGGAGCTCAGCTGTCACCACGAGGAACAAAGCCGATGATCCAGCCACACACCGAGCTTGGGGAAGAAAGTGAGCTGGTTGCTGCCTGAGAATGAATAGCATTAACCCTGGCTCCCCTCCAACCTCCAGCACTTGGACTTCAGGCATCATTCATCCTCCATCCCAGGTGAAATCCTGTGCAGTGCAATTTGGGGCAGGCTGTTGAGGGAAATGGGGAGCAGAGCATCACAGGAGCCGCGGGGTGGGAGAGGCTCCTCCCTCCACCAGGGTCCTGTGCTGCGTCCGGGGCCCCTTGCACCCCTTGCTTTATGTCTGGCTGCCTTTGCTGGGGTGTCCTGCGGACAGGAGGTACACAGAAGGGAGCGGTGGGTCTGTGAGTATGTGTGTGACACCTGGAGGGCGGGGAGGGGGAGGCTGTGGCCGAGGAGACCTGGTGTTACTGTGGGGAGAACTGCAGGTACTGCAGGGTGCAAATCTGTGAGCGATAGAGCCGTGCCTGCCCTGCTGCCTGCATGGACACTTGGAATTATCGCTAGGGCAGCTGCACAGATGTTACAGCATCTCTGCAGGGGCTGGTTGTGAACTTACATTTGGATTGAACCTCCCCACTTTTGTGGAGACAGGACACTACTCCTCTGAACTCCACCTGGCTTTGTAATAAAAATGTTGCAGACTTGGAGGCTGGGCTGTAGAGAAGGCTCCAGAGACTTCTAGACTGCAAACTCCTGGGCAGAAGGCTGTGGATGAAATACTGCAACACCTGGAGCTTTTTCAGACATCAGCCCGTGCTGCAGGTAATTGTCTCCCAGCCTGTCATCTTCAATACAGGCTGCATTTGCTGTGACACCTTCTGTGTGCTACTTGCATGGGTACAACTTGTAATGCACACAAAGGCTGCCAAGCTGTCATGTTCTCCTTTCCATCTGAGCAGCACCACAGTCTCTGAGGAAAGGCAGAACATCTCACATACCTGGCAGCAGCGTGCTTCAGCATTGTCATTGATGTTGTGCTGTAATTCAATAAAAAGGAAGAGCAGTGCAGGGGTGTAATGAACCCCATATAGTCAGCAATTATTTAAAAAAATGAAAAGGTTGTTTAAGGCAAAGCCAGCATTAAACTGTCAGGCATCCTCCTGCACTACTGGAAGCACAGAGCACTCAGGTGCTGCTCAAAGACCAGGAGGTGTCTGCTCTTCACATGGAGGACTTCAAGAGCCCTGTTAGTCCCACACTCCAGGTTAGGTTCTTGTGGGAATGTTCGCGTGGCAGCTAAATCTTATCAGAAGCATGAGCTTATCATGAGTGCCAGCTCTGGCTGGCCCTCATGGCAGTGCTCACAGGGTGACCTTTAAGGGCCTGCAGTGGTTAATGAAGTTGGACATGGGATCTGGAGGTGGTCCTATCAGTCTCAGGAAAGCTTTCCTTAAGAGAGGCTGGGCCATGCCAGCAGCACTTTCTCTCTCCATTATCTCTACCCATTATCTCCATTCTAGGAGAGAGAACAAAAGTTTCAAACCACATTAAATGCTGCTGCTAACTGGACTACATTACCTTTCCATGTGTGATCTTTCCATGATTTCATTTAAACTAAGACTGCTTTCCCATTTTCTTTCAAAATCTGTGAAAAGTTGCAGCTTTTCCTAACTGGTGAGGCCTTATTTCCTCTCCCTCTCTTGTTTTTTCTCTTTTGCACTTCACAGACTCCTACTAAGGGTGTCTGACACTTTGCCTTTCAGGGCAGCCTTCTAATTGCTTGTGTAATCGGAAAGTCAGAAAGTCAGATGCCCAATCCACATCCCAGCAAAGGTGATAATCAGGGAGCCCCTCTGGCTTTGGCTGGCAACAGCTGGAGTCTGGGAAAGGGAAACCGAGGGCAAACAGGAGTGCAGAGGTGATGGGAGTGGCAGGGAGTATGACAGAGATCCTGCAGGATTTTGGTGGTTTAGAGGATTTGGGCTCCTCTGTCCACTCATGGAGCAGGTGTAGGAGAGCAGTGTGAACAACATCAGCACATTTCAGTATAAAACAGAATAAAGAGCTCATCATGACTGCTGCCTCTGGCCTGTGCTCTGGACATGCTCGGGCACTCCAGAGCTGCTGGGGTGCCTTGGTTTCCTGTGGTAAAACCAGCAGGTGCAGAATGACCAATAAATACTTTTTAACCATGGCAGGAGATAATAGGTTATCTGGAGATGCTAGGCACTGGAAATTTGTGTAAACAATCCACAGCCCTCAGTATCTTATTTTTGATAATTGTTAAATCAGCGTGGGTTTTTTTGTTTGTTTGGGGTCTTTTTCCAAACTATTTATTAATTTTGTTTTAAAGCTTATCCTAAAGTTTATTTATGGGTTTTCTGTTTACATTTTTCCTTCTGATTCTAGTTAGGAAAAATCTGCCTCTGGAAGCCTGGGATGCCTGCATCCCCTTTGAAGGTCTGTTCTCTGTTTGCTGAAAATGAATGCAATCAGTTCATAATCGTTACTTCCCAGGTGATTGCCTACTTCCAGCCCAGTGATCAGTAGCCCTGTCACCCTTGGGAGGTGCCAGGTAGTTACTGGGTGCTGGGTACAGCATCACACTGGCCATAAGGTGCCATCTATAACCACCAGACCTCAGAGAATTGTTTAGGTTGGGAAAAAAACCCCATCAGGATCATCGAGTCCAGCCACTAACCCAGCACTGCCAAAGCCCACCAGGGCCCAGAGGAACCTCCAGGGATGGTGATTGAATCACCTCCCTGGGCAGCCAGTTTGTGTTTCCACTGAAGTGTGTAATGTTTCCAGCACACGTTTCACAAGCTGGATGGCTCCTTATAAACACTCCTTTCCATACAGCCCAGACAGGTCTTTCAAGAGCTCCTTGCTCCTTTCTGCCCCGCAAGTTTTGTGCAAATTCCTGATTCCTTGTGCCAGGTTAGAGGCACCCAGTGAAGGCAGCGGGGAGAAGCAGGACAGGCAGCTCCTGCCTGCATTCAGGCCACTGGGACATTTTCCAAGCATACACAGCTGCTGGCTCTAAACCCGGACTAACTACC